GTTTATTATATGTATTCATTCAACCATTAATCGATTGAATTGAGCCTATTTGGTCCGAAATAATATAAATACTTAGTATTTCGTTATTGAACCGATAGTACATGGCGGTTTTTGTACGAAAATTTGCTCGCCCTCTTTAAAAGATTAAACAAATTTGATCATTTCACTTAAAAAAAAAAAAATAAGTTAGATTCTGACACCTAATGTTTGAAGTACGGTAGCCTAAAAATATATTGACTACCGGTTTGAAAAATATATTGGTAGGCCTATATACGGTTTGATATAATGGCAAAAAATAGCTTTTGGTTTTGTTGTATGTTAAGGAAATCGTTCGACGAATGACTAATTTTACAACAGCCTACCGCATTGTTTATGTTGAGTTTTTGTTTTCATTAACTAAAAATAAGGCAATAAATAGCAATATTAAAATATTTCTAGATAATTTGAAGCTTGTATAAGAGTAAATAAATAAGCCTTTATACTCTCTTCTGACTCTATCTCTGCCTAACTAAATTTTTAAATACATGCCTTTCATACATAGGCTAATATAGGTTGATATATGTCTTGTATTATATTTGGCTATTAATACAAGTAGGCCCTATTCAACAATTTAGTCAATGGTAGCCTAATATGCAAAATTTTTTTGACAATGGAGAAAATAGTGGAAAAGGGAGTATTTAAATTACAGACCTTGCAAACCATTAACAATCTCCAAGGCTACGTTTAACGTTAAAATAGTTATTTTAAAGTGGGCCATGAGGCACAATTTTTATTTCAGCTGCGGTTTTCAATACGGACGAAATGAGAACATTCTAGTGGCTGTCATGGTCTGACGTCACTCTCTTCTCTTGAGAGAACACCATTAGCGTAACGATACGAAGTTCAACTATCGATGTTGTGTAGTGGATAGAGTACTCAAACGATGTCTAAGAGTTATCCAGTTTGAATCCCTCCGGTGACATTAACTTTTTGTTAAAGATTTTGCTTAGAATGTGACTAGCCTACTTCATTTTTTGTTAGAAATTGAGGCATTTATAATTTTATTTTATGAACAGAACAATTTTTTCAAGTAGGTAGTAAACCTTCATTAGATTTTTATCTTATATCTCTTTTTATATTATTAGCAAGTTTGGTTAGTTATGTTAGTTTATGACGGTTAGGTTTTATATTTTTTTTTTCATTTTTTTACTCTCATTTCGTTCACAATGAAACCGCAGTATTAGCTGAAATAAAAATTGTGCGGCCGTGAGAGCGTGGAACATAGATCAAACATGCCTGATGTACTTCATAAGCTCTATCCAACTCTCAACAACATGAAATAGCAGCTGGTCTTGTTCTATACTTTCAGATACTCCCAATTCCCATGCAAAATAAACTTGACACAAACACTTTTTTTTAGGAAAGGGAAGGATTCCGCTACAGTCGAAGAGAATCGGGCCTATGGAGATGTCAGCGAAGATATAAACACTTTTCAACAATCACTAGGCCTATACATTGAGCCTACAGTTATTAATTTTAAAATCTTGAAAGTGATTTACTTTTGTTTATAGATTTGATATATTATAAGAATATTTAGTTCGCTTGGTTTTTTGGTCTCTTTTGTGATTTGACCTTCTATAAAAAATGTATATTTTGGGCTTTGTGAAAGAATAAACAATATATTTTTAAATTGTGACGTTATTTTTTACCTTTTTCTTGAAATAAATATACATAACTTATGTCAACAATATTCCACAGAAACACTTTTTGCGGATTTAATGAAATAGCATAGCCTACTGTTATTCAAGAATAAAATAATATATTAATAATAGCTTTGTCAGTCAATAGAGTATTACCTAAAATGAGTTTTTTTTTGTTTTGACATTTTTGTTATGCATTTATGCAGGCCGAAGTATTTTGAATACTTAGATTGTTTAACAATTATTTTGTGAATTTTTAAAAATATTAGCTTAATATTGACAGAATAATACGGCCGATACAAAAATACTTTAACATTGTTGTAAAAACAATAGTCAAAATACTGTTAATGTTAACAAAATATTGTTAATTGATTATTTCTACATTTTTTGCAAAATTGTCTTAATATTGGCTTAATATTTCCATATAACATTGAAACAACGTTGAAAAATATTAAGACAACATTTTCAAGACAATGTATTTTGTTTCACGAAAACGTTAATATTGTTACCACATTGATCAATATTTGGGCAATATTGAATGAATGTTGTTTAAATGTTGAAAACAACATTGAAACAACATTGAAAAATATTAAGACAACATTGTCAAGACAATGTATTTTGTTTCACAAAAACGTTGTAACAATATTGTTACCACGTTGATCAATATTTGGGCAATATTGAATGAATGTTGTTTAAATGTTGAAAACAACATTGAAACAACGTTGAAAAATATTAAGACAACATTGTCAAGACAATGTATTTTGTTTCACGAAAACGTTGTAACAATATTGTTACCACGTTGATCAATATTGGGGCAATATTAAATTAATGTTGATTAAATGTTGACAACAACATTGAAACAACATTGTTATGCTACTTGGGATGGTTAATAAAAGTACTCTCACACTAACGAGTAGAATTAGTTGTAGTACCAGTACGTTAATGAGTAGAATTCAATCAAGTCCTGTAAATATTGCAAAGAGGAAGTGTTTGGCAATGTCGTGTGAGTAGGCTGGAAGTGTTAAACAATATCTTTTCTTGGTTGCCTACAGAAGGCTGTGGCTTTGACTAGGTAGGGGTACTTGATCAGGGGGTCAGTTTTGTGTGGAGTACTAGTGTGGTGTACTGAAGGACAGGGTCCTGCCGGGGAAGCTGGAGCCCAAGACCTTTGGCTTTGGGTCCAGGTAAGACCCAGGGTATTCAAAATTGGCGTTTGGAGTCTTTTTCCAAATTGGGGTTTCCATTACTGACACGGTTCCAGTCTACCTTTTTGTTTGTTATCAATCTTTGTATGTTTTGTGGGCTGATAAAAAAATTGGATTTTTTAACCGAGTGCTGAGTTTGATTCCTGAGCTACATCACCCAAAGTAACTGTACGCAGGCCTGAAGGAGCCTGAGGCTACCCACTGTTACAGTAATCATGCTAATGAGATTACAATGAGTCGGAGTCAAAGTACTATCAAGCTAAAAAATATTTTCAGTAATGTCGCGTTAGTGCAGTGGCGGATCCAGAGGGGGCGACCGCCCCCTCCCCTTGGGCATACGTATATACAGGGTGAATTTTAAATGAGTTCCCCCCCTACTTTTTTCTACATTTCTTAAGATATCAACTCCGGACCACGTCAGATCATTGTAGAGTAGTAAGTACTTCATTTTGACTGGGTATACATTTTTGGCCGCCATCTTGGATCCGCCATATTGGATACAAAGTTTTTTTTTCAAAAGTAAAGGTAGGGTTGTGACCCATTATTCCAAACTAGAATTTTACGCTGATTACAATGCCGCAAATAGTTTTTAAAAATCTTTATTCGTTCTAAAGTTATAAGGACTTTTTATAACTTTATTTTTAGCCCATTTTAACATTGTGCATTTACAAACTAAGACCATAATGTCAAAATAGTGCTAGATAAAGATAAGTATACACCACCATTCATTGTCGACCTATTTTTACTTGGTTATGACGGATGTATTTTTTTCGGCCGCCATCTTGGATCCGCCATTTTGAAATGTGACAAATTAATTTAAATATGAAGGTGGTGTTGTGACCCATCATTTTCAACTACTTTTTTATGCTGAACTCAATGCCGCAATCCGTTTTTGGTTATCAAGCTTTCTTGATGAAATATTAAAATTATCTTATTTAAAATTTCAATAATTCAAAAACAAAACATGCATATGAAAGACTGATTGCAGCATTGAATTCAGCATAAAAAAGTAGTTGAAAATGATGGGTCACAACACCACCTTCATATTTAAATTAATTTGTCACATTTCAAAATGGCGGATCCAAGATGGCGGCCGAAAAAAATACATCCGTCATAACCAAGTAAAAATAGGTCGACAATGAATGGTGGTGTATACTTATCTTTATCTAGCACTATTTTGACATTATGGTCTTAGTTTGTAAATGCACAATGTTAAAATGGGCTAAAAATAAAGTTATAAAAAGTCCTTATAACTTTAGAACGAATAAAGATTTTTAAAAACTATTTGCGGCATTGTAATCAGAGTAAAATTCTAGTTTGGAATAATGGGTCACAACCCTACCTTTACTTTTGAAAAAAAAACTTTGTATCCAATATGGCGGATCCAAGATGGCGGCCAAAAATGTATACCCAGTCAAAATGAAGTACTTACTACTCTACAATGATCTGACGTAGTCCAGAGTTGATATCTTAAGAAATGTAGAAAAAAGTAGGGGGGGAACTCATTTAAAATTCACCCTGTATATATATATATTTATTCATGTTGAAGCCTTCCGGAATTGGTAATCAATTATAATAGGTTACGTACCTAGACGTCCACAATTCCTTAGTCGGTGTCTGTTGACTATAGTTTCGACTACTACGTAGTCATTATCAAAAACAGAACGTTAAAATAATTACATTCGTTGAATGTCGTCAAATCTTGAATATATCAAACACACAAACAAACATAACACGAACACGGTAGACATTTAACATAATTGGCCGGCCGGCACACGTCACTGAACGTAACCTATTATAATTATATATATTTACTGCATGTAATTCGTAGTGCATACACATTGCGTAAAATAATTTGACACACTAACTTTGGACAAAGAAATGGTATAAAACTGCCATTTTGGAGACTTAGTTTACACAAATTTTTGGGGGGTACCCCCGAACCCCCCAGTCCCCCTGGTTCGCCCCCTCCTTGTGACTGTTCTAGATCCGCCACTGCGTTAGTGAGTAGAATTGTTTTGTACACTCACACTAATGAGTAGGGGTAGCCAAACTAATCTTATGCTGATGATTATAGATATTCCAAGCGTGCAGGGTGAGGTAAAGTATCACTAACTGTTTGTCAGGATGAGTGCAGATCACAGAGACGTTATTGAGCACCTCCGTCCAAGCTTGAGGTCTCCTCTTCAGCACAGCCACCAGAGGATGCAGAGGATTCTTGGTGTTGTAAGGACATGTATAGCTGGGCTCTGCAACCGCTCGGCAACGCAGCTCTAATATCAGCAACTCGGTCAGAGCGCTGCACACGCCTGTTACACTCCTGTAACGTTTAGATAAGAATTTATTTTAAAATGATATTAGCAGTCTACATACTTTCTCCCGATAGCCATTCAATAACCCTTATCATGGGTAAGCAGTGGGAATAAATATGATATTTTATGGGGAAAATCACAAAAGATGCAATAACTTTTTAACCATATTTTTTACGGTAATGGGAATTGTACCGTTTTGTTCGTAATTTAAAGGTCTATAACATACCCAATTTTAATCAAAATTGTTCAGGTTTTCAACCTGATTTTTAATTTTTTTATTGGAAAGCCTGATTAAAAATAAATATTTCAAAAAATTAAAAATACACCAGGAGACACTATGGGTTAGTAAACAGAAACACATACCAAATTTTATCAAAATTGGACCACAGTGGTGTGGTCTGTAGCTCTGTACACATCCACACGTACACATATACACACACACGGTCATCACTTCAAAAACCACTAATGTGGGTTCAAGAGACACAACTCTCTGATATATCCACCCAAAACTCAAACTTGAAAATTTTGACAAAAACAATACTTTCATCATACCAAGTATTGGGGCGGGAAAGTATTAATTGTTAAAGCCAATTTTGAGTTTTCTTATCAAACCTTAAAATAATAAGTGGTGACTGCAGATTGCTATGAAGTTTCTTCTAGTAGCTGGTCATTTTCTCTACACATTCTGTATCATATTTTGATAGTCGTACTATTATTTTACTATAGTGGTTTTGTGTTGGTTGGTACTATGTACATGTACAATCAAATGATGTTTCCGAATGAAGCAAGCTTATGGTTTTCCTAAGATGTCACATCACGCCGCCATTGTCCAGTCAGGCTATATAACCCAATCCTTGCCTCAGGCTACAGTCATGATCCTTCAAATACACCATACACCCAATGCGGTCTTCTAAGCAGTTTATTACCAAATGTTAACGTTTTTAGTAATCGCATCTCCTTCTCCAAATATTTTTCAGGTTCCAAAATGGTGAGTAAAGGTCATGCAGAGATTATAGGGCTTTGAAAGCAAAAACCATCCCTGATCTACACAATATTCAGGATATCTTTCACAAAACGTCCTCTACTTAAAGCCCTACCTCTGCCATTTTGTGTAAACGCAAGGGTCTGGGGCAACCGTGTTTCCGAATTGAAAACATTCGTAGAGTTGAAGTTAGGGTGACATTTTGAAAATGATTAAATTATCTAGAGTGTTGTGGTTTTAATATTTTTAATATCGTACCTTAAAACGCCTGAAAATCTTCTTTGAATGTAGACAAAAAACGGCAATTTTAAACTGCTTTAACTCATAATAGAATTGTTACTTCAAAATTCTAAAACCAGAGACGCATAGATTGTTCTTTGTTCTGTAAAACCCCACTCATTGTTTTTTACTAGCATGTATGGGTAGTTTACAAAGGCAGTTGCCGTGAATGTCTGCAAGCGCTTCTCGCGGCGTTGTTCAATGGCGCAACATAGCTACTGAAGCCTGAGATGAGATTTCCGAGTTGATGTCCTGCGGACCCTTCAGCTGGCCCTTGTGAATACAGAACTAAACTCAACATTTTCTTCAACTCTTCTATAAGGTTGATACATCCATTATAGTTCGGCCGCTTAGAAAACGACCTGCACGCTAACGCTAAACCAATACTGGAGGAGGTCGCTTTCTAAGCGGCCGAACTATAGGTGGGTTGTATAATGATAGGCCTATATATTTTCTAATAATAAAATTAATTTGATTTGGGGGTCCACCACAAAACTTACTTGACGGAGAACAATGAGGCAACCAATGCTGAGATGGTGTTTTCTAAAGGACTGACATAAGCCTTGACGAGGTAGACGAGCCCGTGGCAAGCCGTGACACTCATTAGCGGGTCCTCACTTCCACATAACTCTCGTAACTGCTTTAACTCCTCCAACTGTTAAACAACCAGTAACTTATCAGACGTAAGTATTGGAAACTATATGCAAAAGACTTCCTTCAAACCTGTTTAAGCTTTGTAAATATTGTGAAAATATGTATTTATAGATTTTAACATAAATGTACAGACTTTGACTATTGATACAACCATTGCATAAAGCGAGGACTGTTTATTGACAACAGCTGTTGATGTAAAGTCCATTTTGCAACCTCAGCTGTTTTCTTATGTTAATTTGATACTGTAGAGCAATAATTGTTAAGCCTCGTTCACACGGGGCGAGTTTACACTCTACTCGCCGGGGTGTAAGAAGCCGGCAATTTGGCGAGTGCGCTTGTATTCGTTCACACAGAGCTTGTCCATTTGCCAACTCGCCGACGTGTAGAAAGACGCCGGCGAGTGCGCTTGTAGTTGTTCACACGATGCTTTTTCCACTCGCTTAGTAGGTGGCTTGAACTAAATCCTCCGACATCTTTGAATAACATGCGCACAAGCACAAGCAACTGTGCAATGGGCTACTTTACACGCCTACTCGCTCAAAAGCTGGCAAGTTGGCGTGTAAAGTAGCGGCACCGTCAACTTTTTCCAGAGCTTTTTTACAAGCAGCTTTTGAGCGAGAACGTCGTTCACACTGAGCTATTTTACTAGCTGCGTGTAAGAAATCCGGCTTGTAGCTTGTAAACTCGCCCCGTGTGAACGGGGCTTTAGTTGAAAACTTGGACAACTCATAGTGAGGACTTTCTGTAATAGGAAATCACTCAAATGTATTCAAAAACTTAGTAATTTTAAATGGATGTGATTTACTTTTATTTGTTTTTGTTCCTTTGTGTGTACAGTTCAATTACTTTTTGGACGTATTATACTTCAAAGACTATTGTTGTACTGTAAGGACTACTAAACTAGAACAATATTTTATATCTGACCCACATATTATTCAAACGTTTAGAATTGGTTCTGGTGCTGTTACTTAGGATCGCTAAAATACTTATCTAATTAACCACTTACAGATATAAAATTTTGAACACAATCCTACTAATATTATAAATGAGAAAGTTTGGATGGATGTTTGTGACAAGTGAACGCGAAAAATACTGGTCGGATTGAGCTGAAATTTGGCATGATGATAGCTCACATTCCCGATTAACATATAGGCATATTCTTATTTCAAAAATCCTTTCGGGCTCCGCCCCAGTGGCTCTGGATTTTCCCATGTTAACCTTATGAGAAATGGAATTATTGAATCTTAACAGCTGTTTCAATTAAACAAGTTGGTTCTGTTCTATGATGTTCAATAGCATTAAAGTTACAAGGATTACCAACAGAGTGCAGCACTATTATTTCTTTTACATTTATGACAACAGCTAATTTGCAACCAAAAGGTGAGTGAGCGTAGCGAACGAACCTCAACCTGGAGGCGAGTTAGCGTAGCGAACGAGCTAACCTGAAGGCAAGTGAGCGCAGCGAACGAGCTTTAACCTAAAGGTGAGTGAGCGTAGCGAACGAGCTCCAACCTAAAGGTGAGTGAGCGTAGCGAACAAACTTCAACCAGGACGTGATTGAGCCATGCGAACGAGATAATCTTGAAAATTAAGAAGTTAAACGGGGCAAAGCCCGCGGGTTACAGCTAGTTTTTTCTAAATCCAATTCCATACAAAATTTTTGCAAGTAAAGATAATTTATTATGTTGTTAACATAACAATACAAATCAATAAGTCTAAATGGAAAGTCTTTTATGCCACCATGTAATTTCCTCATGAACGACATGCCAGTTAAACAATCCATTATCCTGTCATAATTATACAACAGGCTATAATTTAATATTTTTATAAATTGAAACACTGTGTGGTATTTTACACTGATCTGTTCTTCAGACATATCTTTCACATTATGTTCTGTCCTTGGTTTCTTCATCTTGCTTATTTCCTGGGAGTCAATCCCTATGCACGAATTTCATCTTTACGGATTAGTAAGGTTTGTCTTATCACCAATATAAGCTGTTGCTAAATATCTTAAGATACAAAAACTGCAGGATTTTGTAAGAGAATAAAGCCTTAGTTCTTTATAAATCCCACAATGGTATCTTTTACGATTTTATTGGTCAGTCAGGCACTTTTGTTGTTTAAAGTTATTTTTTTCATCTTGAGCACTGTTACACCTCATGAATTTTTAATTTAGTATAATCAACATATTAGTTGTAATCTCCAGTTTCTAACCTCTATTCTGAATCCCATCAAACTTTGTCTTAACAACAAATATTTGACTTATTTAGGTCCATCTATGACGTTTTATTTCTCATAGAGTACAGGTCCATTTTTTGTAACTTTATTAATCGAGATAATAATTTGATACTGTTTAATAATTTCCAGTTTTTTCAGATTTGTGGTTTGTTGGCTATATTATATGTAGTCACATATGGGACCAAAATCGTTTTCATCGTAGTAGAAAATAGCATAGGCAGTGCTGCTGTCTTCGCTATTGCCTACAGAACATTCATTACTTGTTTGTTTTCCACTCTTGGCCTAATAGAGAGTGCCTCTAACATTGACTTTTATGATGGAATACTGAACGAAATAGATTCCTCTTCTAAAACAAAGGTAATGTTGATTTTTGCTAACTGTACATGATTATATTTCAAGCTTACTTGATCAATCTACTAGCTCTAGACTAGAAAGTCTTAATACTATCACCACAAAAGGTGATACTGGAATTTTACCTCATCAACTAACTACTGGATATCCAATTCTTCCGATCCTCTCTTTCTCCGCTCTCTAATTTTTAATTTCTTTCCATAGTTTATCCTTCCACTGTTTCTTTGGGCATCCAGGTTCTATTTCATCCAGGGTTTCCATCCTTATTTATTTGATTATAGATTCATCTCCCCTTCCAATCACAAACCAAATTCAAAAGACTGCTTTTTGCTTCTGCAACCTTGTCTGGTGCTCTTTAACAGATTACTAAGAGCGAGTTCTCCAAGCTACTGAATATCAGCTGTGCTGAATTTTTTGGCACCAACTCTTGGCACACAAAGGTTAGGTACAGCCTTTTTTAGGATGCTGCCAATTTTGGCAGTGGCTGTACCCTGAAAAACCGGAGCACTGAATAAAGCACTCGCATATCATTCAACAATTCCAAAGGCATATAATAAATTCAGCAGCCAAATCTGGCAGGTAGGAATCCCGCATTTAGTCCCCTATTATACTTGATTATCCATTACTCTTCTTTCGGTCCAAATATATTCTTCAGAGTAGGTATTATGAAAGTCAAACACATTCAAATATTTAAAAAACTGTTTTACAAATTTTTCCAGGTCTTTGCATTGCAAGACATTTGGTGTGTGGTTTTGCTACTGGTCATATTACCGGAGCACATTACCGTCAATTGGAGCTTTGATCCGATCTACATGTTCACATACGTCCTCAAAGTCCTCATTCCGCTGGTGTCCATGATGCAGTTTTCTCTTTGTTGCTCAGCAGTACAAGCTGCATACTGCCAACTACAGAAGGACTTACTGCAAAGTGCACCAAGGATTTCATCCTTCGCTATAAGACGCATAAGGTTTGTATAAACCAGATCAGTTCAGATAAATTTAAAGACAGATAGAGTAGTTAGCAAAAGATCTCAACTAAAGATTTCTCATCATCGGGATGTTTTTGTTTAGCTCTCATATCTTTTACCTGGTAGGATTTTAAGTAAACGCAAGAAAAATATGTATCTTAAAAATAGTTTCAATAAGCTACTAAATTTCCAACACAGAGTGCGCCAGCTGGATATAACGGATCGTGTTCGGGACATCAGTTCCGCATTTGGCCTTCGTCATCTTCTGTACATCATGATGATACAGCTTGTGCTTTTGGAGAAGATCGACTCTCTAGTCAACGGGGTCGCTGCTAAGGTGTGTGGTGATGCGTGTGTCATGACTTTCATCAGTTTTTTCGGATACTTCCTCATCCTTTGGTACTTCTCGTATCAACCCTTCAAGGCGGCCAGTGAGGTAAATGCATATAAAAGACTGTACGATTTGGTGTTTTGAGTTTTCCTTATCAATCAATATTTACGATGTAGGCTACATCGAGGCTGCCTTGTTTATTAAACCGAAGCCTGCAAAGCAAACTAGAGGGAAAAAACTGTGTAAAATGGTTTAAATACCACATAAAAGTAATTATTGGTTGCTGTGGTCACCAAAGCAATCAAGGATTGCTCTATGCACGTTTTCAAATCATTATTATTACAAAACGACAACTCAGAGGCTAATGAATATTTAACAAATTAGTACTAGAGTACAGTAGCATTTAAAGATTGATTGAACAGTTTTGACAAGTGATTGATATTAAACTAAATGTTTCCTTATTTAGCTGTGCTAACAAGCATAAAAGTTAAAAACATAGACTATCTTAAATATATTTTTTTACCTATAAACAATTTTCAATGCATTAAGCGATTTACAATTCAATAAAGATTGTAATGACTTAAGTAGGGTACAATTTTCCAGCACCAAGAAACTCTTGCTACTCTTATGGATTTGGACACTAGAGATATGGATGTTTCTGCTATGCAGGAGGTACGAAAAGTTATATTTATTTTCAAACTAGCTTTAAAGATTAAACAGCCGTAATTTTAACTTTTAAAATACTCCGATACATTCAAACTGTGAATAGATAAAGAAATTGTTGGCACATTTTAAATGAATTAAGAGGGATTTAATAAGTATGCTTAAATTCAAGTAAATATATGTAACTTCATCCCTTGACTACATTGATGGAATGAGAATTTTAATCTCTGAAAAAACATTGCCAATTGATATGTATTTTCCTTTTTGTACTGTGCCAGCTCACATCTTTCATTGCATGTTATGTCATTGCAAGCCAAAGTTGTTGAATGGAGAATTTAATATAAACAACAGCATACTTTTAAGAACTAGATTGTGTTTTAGCAAGGGTAATATTTTGGTTTTGGGAAATAAATGTTTTGTTTTTACTGTTCTGCTATAGCTTACTGAAGAT